AGAAAAGAATACAGAATTAAATCACAAACCTCAACCATCAGGTCGAAATGAAATGGATTATTCGGAGGCACTTCAACAGGATTGAATTCGTTGGCAGATTTTAAACTGCCAATAAATGACGATTCGCCACCGTAAACTTCATCCACGTTGAATTCCTTCCCGAGTTCAGAGACAATCCTTGCCTCTGAAGGCTCCTCTGCATTTCTAGTTGGCGGCATTGTATAATATGGAATTTTACCTGCAAAACCAAGTGAAATCATATGCTATTTGTACTCTATTTTGATGGAGGGAATTACTAGGGGTACACAAAAAGACTAATTTACCCTCATTCCAGTCGTGCAAAACAATTCTTGCAGCAGCATCAACATCCACAATGCCGCCCTTTTTGAGTTTGCCCCTAACCGTGGCAACATTCTGAAGGAATTCATCAACAGAATCAAAGCCAGGGATCTTGTATAACGTCACCAACACATTCTCCGGACAAAGCTTCAGAATTTCCTTAACTGCACATTTTAAGGCACTAGATAAATAAGTAGCAAACAAATCCAATTTTTTTATACTTTTTGAGGTAAGCTGCAACAAGCAAGGGAATTTTACTTACCGGGACCAACCGGGTCATCTAATTTTTCAATTCTCTTGCAATTACGAAGTGCAACAGAAGAATCATTCTCGGCAGCTTTAAGCATCACGACCCCAGGGCAGTCTAGTAATTTAACATTTTTGTCCAACTGGACTTCTTGCATGGATCTCGTGAGTCCAGGAGTGGCGCCAACATTGACAACGTGTGATCTTTTCAAGCTATTAATTAGACTACTTTTACCGACATTTGGCAGGCCAATAACACCCACAGTGATAGATGTTTTTATCTGAAAAAATAAACAAATAAATAAATAACTTGCAACTGTTGGTACACGTGCCCAACCAGCTAAGTATGGAAACTATTGAAATTGTCGAACCAAACCTCATGGCTTCTTGAATAGTTTTTCAGCAGCTTTATCAAATTCTCAGCACCTAGACAGTCACTCGTTTGCATATGATTGTTTGCCTTGCCAGTTTTCCCACCCTTTGGACCAGATTTCCATCCTAAGTTCGATTTCTGTTCTTGGGTACTGCACTTAAATGCAACTGCTGGTAACTCCTCTCTGAGGTACTTGAGCCACTTCTCAGCAGCTTCACGAGGGACGAGATCTGTATACATACAGGCACAGTGATTTTGAACATTTAAAAATCTGTACATGCACTAAAATCTGTAAAATAAAGAACATTTTGATTTCCATGGGGAGAAAACCAAATGATTCTAAAACTCGCTACTTCTACTGAAAATCTATAACCAGCACATATGAATATTAAAGATTCACACTGCTTTTTCTAAACGGTGATTCCGTCTGGGGTAGCACAATATGAGCTTCTCTTCAGATTAACAAGATGGGAGCAAACTTACCGATTTTATTGAGGAGCAAAATGAGACGCTTCTGGGCGCCAGACCTCATCACCATCTTTTCCATGTCAACACAACGAGTGCCCAGGGGATCTCGAGCATCAAGAACTTCTAAAATTACATCAGAATTTTCAATCACCTTGACTAACTCCTTGTAGAAAGTTCTCTCCGAGTTGTCTGCAATAAAGTCAGACATGTTCACATTCTAAAGAAGTAAATATTCATCTGTCCTTCGAAAGACCTAAACATTAAATAAATGAAAACAACCATAGCACCAAAAGATTTGATATCCATCATTCATATACCTCGATTTTTAATAATTCTGGCAGAACCATCAGTGACCCTTTCCTCTCCAGCAGAGCTTTCTTCTTTCATATCTTCATCCTCCAACAACCCCAATTTTCTCTTTTTAGCCTTACACGAGTAAAAAAAATACAAATTTAAAGAAAAAGTTAGAAAATTAATAAGTCACTCAACGACAGAGCAACATGAACAAACGCAAATCTTCATAACCACAACCATAATTTCGAGTGCGTTAATTTAGAACACCCCTCCAGGCCTCCAAAAAAATCTTTTTTAGCTGATTATGGAACATTTCAAATTGTGAAATGCTCAAAGACAGAGCCATGGCTAGCACATTCCGCCATAAAAGACGCAGCTCATGATATCCCCATTCACTCCCCCCATTCCTTCTAATTGCTCATAAATCACCTAAAACTACTATATCCAACACAAGCACTACTAACGTATCAACAACATTGTCTACAAAAGCAAAATTAAATCTTTGTACCCTCTCTTTACGGGCGGCTTTCTTCTCATCGAGCTCCCGGATAGCGCGCTGCCTACGGGCCTCGAGGGCTTTGAGCTCTTGCTCCTTGAAGGGCCAGTCATTGGGTATGCCTGGATCCTTCTCGACCTTCTGCTTCTTGTTGAGGCCTGATTTCTTAGCTTCCTTGGCCTTCTTCTTATGGTGCTCCTTCACTTTCCTGATTATCTTGTATTTTTTCTTCAGCGAGACCCTCTTGCTCTTGCTCTCTGTAAATAAACGCGTTACAAAGTTATAAAGATTTGATTTTTACTCAAAAAAAAGGCTGTGAAATCGTAATTATGCGCAACAACACAACGGCCACCGTACTTTTGCTCTTCTTCACCATGTTTCTTCGTTCGTCCGAAAAAGGGGATTGAGGGATTTGGTAGGGGATTGTTAGGGTTTTGCTTGGTTCGTCCGGAGAGTGGTTTGAGGGCTTTTGGTAGGGGATTTTGTTAGGGTTTTGCTTGATTTTTGTAGTATAAATGTGGAAAAAAGAAAAAAAAAATGGAGGAGAATTTGAAAAGAAAAAGAATGGGGTGAGAGAGGCTCGAACTCTCGACCTCAGGATTTCTCGTAAAGCTATGAGACCTACGCGCTAGCCAACTGCGCCACCACCCCGTTGTGAAGATTGGCAAACGTTATCGTATCGTATATATTCTTTAATAAATTGCAAATTAACATGCTAAAAATACAATATATATATACAACTAGTACGTACCATGTGCAATACACGGGACAGAAATATTAAATGAGTTATTTTCACAAATTTTTATATTTTAGTCAAAAAAATAATAGAGTTATTATCTTTTTTCTACTTCTTTTAATCAACGTTAAGTCTAAAAAACAATAGAGTTATAAGCTTTTTTCCACATTTTTTAACCAGCGATATTTCTTAGCCAGAACAATAATTATGAGCATGTAAGGGCTAGCTTGTAAAATAATTAATATATTATTTTACTAAAACATTTATACTAATAAAAATTTAATTTTAGTATATAAATGTATCCCTTGATATAAGAGAAAGTAATATTTTTACTTATTCTTGTTCACCATATAATATTTAATTATTATTTTATTATATATTAAAAAAGAATACTGTTAAATAGTGTGCTAGAATTGTTATAAAATTATATGAATATTTTTTCTTACAATATGGATTAATATTTTTTTATAATTTGATAGTATAACTATAATATATCCTTAATGATATAATGGTTTTAGTATAGCTGGAATGCTGCTTGCAAATAATCTTTTTTCTACCTCTTATAATTAACGTTAAGTTTAAAAAAACAATAGGGTTATAAGCTTTTTTCCACATTTTTTAACCAGCAGTGTTTTTTAGCCAGAACAATAATTATGAGCATGTAAAGGCTAGCTTGTAAAATAATTAATATATTATCTCACTAAAACATTTATACTAATAAAAATTTAATTTTAGCATATAAATGTATCACTTGATATAAGAGAAAGTAACAGTTTTACTTATTCTTGTTCACCATATAATATTTAATTATTATTTTATTATATAATAAAAAAAATACTGTTAAATAGTGTGGTAGAATTGTCATAAAATTATATGAATTTTTTTTTTTTTACAATATGGATTTAATATCTTTTTTATGATTTGATAGTATAACTATAATATATTCTTAATGATATAATGGTTTTAGTATAGCTGAAATGCTGCTTGAAAATAGAAAAAAAAAATTCTATTAGATGCAGCCAACATTCTACTATAAGATAAATGTTTTCTCGTTGTGATAGAGGTTTTTTATCCATCATGTTCTTTTACACATCTATTAGATTATATGCAGCCAGCATTCTGCTATAAGATAAAGGTTCCCTCGGAGCGGGATGCATGTCATATGTCATCTAAACTTTTTGATTTTTTTTTTTAGTCTGTTACTTTTATTATCACAAATTTAACGGTGTGAATTGATTTACAACATACTCTACATTCAATTTTACAACATACTATACATTCAATTAAGACTGATTTTCATTTACTAATGATTTATAAAGTTTGATTATTAATTTGACCAAACATTTTGCTTATTGATTTATAAAGTTTGATTATTATTTTGACCAAACAGAAAAGATGAACTTGTTGGATCAATGTTGTTAATCTAAACAAACATAAAAGTTTTTCATATTATTTTTTTTAGCCTTTATCAGTTTGTAACGTTTTATCAGTGTAGAAAATATTTTCATGATTTTTTATTTATTTCACGATTTGTTGATTCATTACAGTTTTGGACAATTTATAAAAATTATTAAGCCGCCTTCTGGCAAATATGTATAGAGTTATGCGTTTGTGTCTCATAAGTCACAAACATAATGAATAACATTACAAATTATTCACTCAAACTTTTATTCATTGCAAATATATTAAAGTAGTTTATATAACACCATTACATACCACTTTTAATATATTTATAAATAAAAAGTACTCCCTCCTTTTTTAAATAAATGTCGTTTTGACTTTTTTGATTCATCCATTTTGCTATGTATCTAGACATATTAATGTCTAGATACATAGCAAAATGGATGAATCAAAAAAGTCAAAACGACATTTATTTAAAAAAGGAGGTAGTACATAAAATTTCTGGTATACTCAAATTTAAATAATTTTTTATGAGCTCAATTTTAAATCATCCAGACATTTGGTCAACCGCATAGGTGTGATCAAATTTAAATCATTGGTATTTTGTTCGGTTGAAATTTAAATCACCTACCATGGTACTGTGATGTGTATAATATATATAAATACAATTTTTTAACAAATAATATGTGCTTTATAAAAATAATAATAATAATTTCACAAGATTTTAAACGTAAAATTTGGTTTTAATCACAATAGAAAAACCATGGTAAGTTGTATTGAAAAGGTGTTATGGGATAAAATAATTAAATAAAATGATTGAATAAAATACTTGGTAGAAATAGAATACATTAATTACCGTTGACTTTTCTTACTACTAATTTTAATAAATGTGATTGACGTTTTATATAAGTATAGATACAATTATTGCAATTTTTTTCTTTTATGTGCATTAAATTGGGAACCTCCATCCATCATGTCATGTATATAAGCACAAAGTTGATGACAACTAGCAAGAGAAATTGTTGGGGGACATATAATGAAGCAGAATTATTGGCAAGTCCTATATGTACATCTCAAACTTATTAGGGACTGATAAAAGTATGAAAAATTATGATGAAGCAGTTATTACATATAATCTACAGAAACAACAAAAAGTTATCACATTAATATATTAAATATATCATGAAATGAAAGCAAAATAATTATTTTCTATTTGAGCAAAAACAAATGATTGAGGATATTGGGACAATTAGTCTATTATGCAAGACTAGTACAGTTCCCGTGCGATGCACGGAGTGCACAAAATTAAGGTCATTTATCAAGTCTTATAATTATATAAATAAATAAAGAAAAATGTACGGGATATATATAGTACGTGACCTGTTATAGGCCAAAATAGGCCAAAATGTGAACACACGTGATGCACGGGGTGCACAATTTTAAGGTCATTTACTAGTACAGTGTCTGTGCGATGCACGGGGTGCACAATTTTCTAACATGTGTAATACAAATACATACCGTATGCACGAGACAGAAGCACTAAATGAGTTATTTCCACAGAGCTTGCCCGTTAAATAGCCCCTGAACACGGGTGCACAATTTGTAGTACGTACTATAAAATCAAAACATATTTTCATACAATTAGATAATAAATTAGATAATAAATAAAGCATTTTTATTTTAGTAAGGATTTTACGTACTTTTTTTTACTTATCGGATGTTATGAGATTTTTTTTGTTAAACTGTTTTTATGGGATATAATACAAAAGAGGATTGAACAAAATCAGAACAGATTTCTATACAATTAGATAATAAGAAAGAATTAGATAAGGAAAAGAAGAAATTAGATAAAGAATTTTGAATCTACCTTTTTTATAGTATAGATAGACTTTACGTACAAATTTTGACTTCACCGGTTTTATGAGATTTGTTTTGACAAAATCAAAGACGAACACTGAAGACTGTTTCTATTAACATTTACAATGTGTATTTAATGTTTTTCTGGCAAAATATTCTTTTTAAGTATGATATATAAATATTAAAAATACTTAAAATATTTTATAACATCTATAAAAGCATCTAAAATATTCTATATTATTCACAAATAATGTTTGAAGCTACTAAATTTTTCTAAACTACCCGTAAGAAAAATATGTCTAAAAATTCTTCATTTAACCTTCATATATGTATATATATAGAGAGAGCAAATGTGTAAAAAAAAAATTATACAAATAATATTTAAAAGTATCTAAAATATTAGTAATTAGATAGGTGAAATTTAGATTTTTAAAAAATCTATATAGATAATGGATTTATAGTAGTAATTAGACTTTTATTTATTTACCTTTAAAGTTGTTACGATAGATGAGGGATGTGATTTTTTTGACTCGTGGAGATAGGAATTTTATAAGCTGGGTTATGAAATTTCTTAAATTCGTCCATATCTATGCCATGAGTTTTTTAAGCTGAGTATATAGATTTAAAATTGTAAAAGAAAAAAAAAAAAAAA